GTCTAGGGTTTAGGGTTTAGAGACCAGCTAGGAAGCCTCTTCGAAGCCCAAGCCGACTAGGTTTTTGGAGCAAAGGTCGGGAATTCGGTGTATTCTCCCTGTCTGATCAGAATGGTTTAGGTTTTTGGAGACAAGCTAAGGAGTTCTGTGTAGGGTCCAGGCACCCGTAGTACAACAACTGCTACGATTCGAATTGTAACCCTCCTATTTCGTGATGTGGTCCTTGAAGGTAGTGGTCCTCTAAATACCCACAGCCCTTGTAAACCTCCTTCAGCTGAGCCCATACAGGTTTAGGGTATAGGGTATATAGACCCTTAAACCCTGAACACCCCAAGCCCTTTAAGCGTGACAGGCAGCGGACTTATCGGGTTCTCCGAAGCCCAGGTCTCTAAACACCAAACCCTTTAAGGGTTTAGGTCTTATAGGGCTTAGGGTTTAGGGTTTTAAGGTTTCGGGTTTACTGCTTTAGGCTTAGAGGGTTTCTGGGTCTTAGGGTTAAGGACTTTTACAGGGCTTAAAACCCTAACCCCTAAGCCCAAAACGCTACACACCCCAAACAGCCGAGGCCAGCGGCGCTTGCAGACTGCGCCGGCAGATTCGAAGCGGGAGGTCGTCTCTGGATTCCTTTTCAAGGGCTTGACTTGGTCCTTCAAGCGGCTCTTTGAAGAGATCGTTCAGGGTTTAGAGTTTGGGGGCTTCATTAATGTTTAGGGTTCAGGATTTCTACAATCTACAAGCCCTACAAGAGAAGAGGATCCTATCACTTTCGGCTTCAAATTGAGGCGTATTTGGATCTTTTAGGGTTTCAGAGTGGCTCTTTCGGGGTTTGGGGGTTTGGGGATCAGAGTTTTGGGGAATTGGGTTTAGGGTTTAGGGTTTAGGGTTTACGGTTTAGGGTTTTGGGGAGATAGCACTCAGGCTCTTGGGGGTTTGGGGTTCCTAGGTTCTGAAAGGGTTCAGTGTTTAGGACGGTTTGCATGGAGATTATCGAATTTTAGTATAAAGGGCCCCCCACAGCCGTGTTCTACTTATTAAGGCCCCTACATTAAGGGTTTGGAGAAGTAGGGTTTAGGGTTCAGGGCTGGGGAACCTGGGATTGAGGCTACGCAGCATATAGTTCGGCCATACATAAGGGCTTCCTATCTAGGCACTTCAAGACACGGCAGCGGTTTAAGGTTTGGGATATTTCGGGTTCAGGGTTGGTTAGTCAGAAATTTACTTTTTTATAGATCCTAAACCCATGCAAACCCTAAAACCATAAACTCATGGACCTTCCGAGTAAGTTTTCCCTCTCACGCCCAAGCCTGGGATGCCAATCCAGGATGGTCTTTCGGGCTCAGGGCTTTAACGATTTTTAGGGTTTAGGGTTTTCAGGGTTTTAAGTGTCAAGAGGTTTAGGGTGTTCAGGATTTTAAGTTATTAGGTTCAGGGGCTTAGCCGTTTCTGCATTAGGGCTTCAGGGTTTAGGCTGAAACTCTAAGGACTTTAGGAGGGACCCCTAATAGGGACCCTTAATCCCATTACCTTAAACAACCAGTGTATGGTCCTTATATACCCCTTTTGTAGCCAGGTAGTCCCCATATTAACCCCAATAACCTACAAGGGTCCCTATTAAGTCTAAACCCTAAACCCTAAACCCTAAACCCTAAACCCTAAACCCTCCTAAACCCCTTAGAGAAATCTCCCAGGACATTGGCCCTTGGTACGGCTCCCTTGGAGCCTTCTGCGGCGAATGGGGCGATGACAAGTACCTGCTCCTGCGTTTGGGTTTTATGGTTTAGGGTTTAGGGTTTAGGGTTTAGGGTTTAGGGTTTAGGGTTTAGGGGGCTTACCTGAGCCTCAAAACCGAAAGCTTTAAGGTACTTTGTTATGGGTTTAGAGTTTAGGGTTTTATGGTTGCAGGTCCGCATTTATTAAGCGTTTCATCAAAAATATAAGCTTCTTAGATCCTCCATCTAACTACCCATTGTTTGGGACCATATATCCATCTTTCAGGGTGCAAGGAGGATCCTGGTTCTTTTGGTGCAATTTGCCTTAAACCCTGAACCCAAAAGGCCCTAAACCCCGAACGCTGAAACCCTAAACCCTAAAGAGGGGTTCTAGTGTTCGTTAGCGGTTTAGCCTTGTGAGCTTTTCACTGCTTTGCCAAAGGCTTGAAACAGGTCAGCAAGGGCAAGCTCGACAAAGACCCACGCACGTTGAGAGCTGAATGCATCGAGCACATGCAGAAGCACTCTGATGAGTACCGCGCTGCTTGGGACCGCAAAGGTCCCGCCGGCGGTGCTTTGACTTCGTGGGAGGAGTACATCACTGCTGTGAGCGCCGAGAGCGCCTCTACCGTCCAACGTATACATCAAGAGCGACCACGCATTGCACTGCCCCTGGTTGAGCCTCCGGCTGAAGGAGATGGGACTGCAGAGGCCAAGTTCTACAATTTCTTCACCCTTAACGCTGCGGCAGTCGACAATTACGACAGATTCACGCAATATTTGAACAGCGTATGCGGAAGCAAAGAACCTCCAGGACTCCTAAGGCATGTGTAGGGCATCTGTATGGGTTCGGGGGCCGTCAGGGGCCCTACACCCTGAACCCTAGACCCTAAACCTGTAAGGGCTTCGGGTTTCGGGTTTAGGGGTTCATGGTGCTGTGGTTTAGGGCCTTAGGAGGTCTAGAGTTTAGAGGTTTAGGAGTTTAGGGTTTAGGGTCTAGGGTTTGGGGTTTAGGGTTCAAGGTTTCCGGACAAAAGAAAAAAGGTTTTGTAATTGAGACTGGGGACTAGGGTTTAAGACTAGATTAGCTATCGTGATTTGTAAGCATACCCAATATAGGTACATACCTCGTCAGACTCTCATAAAGTCAGATAAAGCCCTCATCAAGCTTGTATAGCCCTATAAAACCCTAAACCCTAAACCCCTAAACCTTAAACTTAAGGACATCTCTGTAGTTCGTGCCTTGCATCCAGCAACGCTCTGCTCAGGTATGTGTCTGGCGAGTGGGTCGAGCTGCCGTAGCTTGGGGATGACAGTTGAGGGTTTCGGGGTTTTGGGGTTTATGGGTTTAGGGTTTAGGGTTTAGGGTTTAGGGTTTAGGGTTTACTTGAACCCTAAACAACCCACCTTTGAGGACATCTACAGGACATCCTAATACGATGTCCTAAAATAGGTAGGTTTTATAGGGTCGAGGTAGGTTCGAGGGGAAGACTGAGGGCCTAGACTAGCTTGGAATTTCTCCGACTGGGGTTTAGGGTTTCGGGTTTAAGGCATCATTTCTTTTCCTGTATGACAGGTTGTTTGGGGTGTTGCATGTTCTTGCAGTTTTTGTTTGGCACATAGGGGATCCACGTACTTGACAAGGAACTGAACCTTTAGTCTGTACAATCAGCAAGTAGTCCAACTACTTATCCCCGCGGGGCTTATAGGGTTGTCAGTTTAGGGTTCAGGGGCTGGGGTTTAGGGTTTGGAATGCACCACCAACGAATTGAAGCCTTTTCGACGCTCTTGTGACGTTTTGGTAACCCCCAAACCCTTGACCCCTAAACCATGAATGCGCACCAGTGAGCCCAGCCCGCTCAACCTGCGTTCCAGCTGGAGGTGATGCAAATCATGCATGGTTTCAGAGTTAAGTGGTGGATCGACCTATATACCTCGGGGTTTAGGGTTCCGCGTCGAACATGTCTTCTTGGGAGATTCACAGAAGCATACTTTTACGGCTGTGAGGTCTCTAGTCCGTTAAGTGCTAAACCTGGAACCCCCAAAGTCCAGAGCTAGCCATGACAATCTACCCGCGATTACACCATGATCCCGGACCACGTACCGCGAACACGAAGGCATGAACCCTGTATACTGCAATGACGCGAACCCTACATCCTAAACCCTCGACCCCAAGCCCAATGCCCTACACCCTAAAGCCAAACGCCTAGACCCTAAACCCTATACGTACCCTAAAGCCTAGACCCCAGACCCGAGAGACCCTAAAGCCTACTCCGTCAGTCCCTTCTTTAGAATCTGCTTGGGGCTGGAGCGATGGCATGAACTCGGCCTTCTTAAACGCTTGCCTGGCCGTGCCTTGGACCTTTCGGGCCCTATATTTCAGGGTTCCTAAAATGGGATCTATAAGGTCTTGGACCTATCAGGGTTTAGGGTTTGGGGTTTTAGGGTGTAGGGGTTCCGAAAAGGGATCTAGAAGGTTTTAGGGTTTAGGGTTGTGGGTTTGGGGTCCTAAACCCTAAACCCTAAACCCTAAACCCTACGGGGGGTTTAGCCGCCTGTTAAAAGACTGATGTCAGCAGTAGGGGTACTGGGTGGCTCCAGCCCGGTCCTTGAAGGTTTAGGGCTTATAGGGTTTAGGGTTTAGGGTTTACGGTTTAGGGCTTAGGGTTTATCGGGTTTAGGGCTTATGGGGCTCATAGGGTTTCGGGTTTAAGGCTTATAGGGTTTACAGGGTTTATAGGGTTTAGGGTTTGTGACATTCACAGTTTGGGTTCATGTGTGACGGCCTTCGAGAAGCTCACCGTCTGCTTGATCCTGGGTTTAGGGTTTAGGGTTTAGGGTTTACGGTTCAGGGTCTGTTTGGCTGGGAGAGAGCTTTTGGCACTAAGCTTCAGGTTTTGGGCTCCACTTGGTGTATCCCCTAACCTTAAGTCAAACTAAACTCTGCACCCCCTAAAGCCGAAACCCCAAGCTTTCCTGCACGCTTGGCTTGCGGATTTGATGGCCAGCCTCGTCTACGTGAACCCGGTTAGGGGGTTAGGCTTTCGGGTTTAGGGTGTCTCTAAACCCCTAAACCCTCATTCCTATAAACCTCTGACCCTACAGCTCTTTGTTCTGTTCTGCTGCTCTTTGTCACCATGCAACTTGCTTTTGGATTCAGCAGGGATAGTGCGCGCATACTGGCATGCGGCATCGTGTACAGGAATCTTCTTCTATGGTTGTGGATTTAGTTCTGTGGTCCGCCGCACCCTGCCATTGCCCTCTACAGCCATGACCGAGAATCAGAGTCTCATGGCAACTCAAAACAATCGTAAGCCGCCACCAGACTTCCTGAAAGACTTGGATTGGAAGGAGTTCGAAGCAGCTGCCGTACCGTTGGCACAGCTCTACAACCCACCGCAGCTGGTCAGCAGCTGTACCGGATTTGGTGCGCGCCTCTCCATGTGCTGGAACAGCCTCTTTACCCATCGAGCACCAATCTGCGCGAAGCCGGTGATTCCGTGCTGCTGCGCAAAGGCCGCGCAGTCCCAGATTGCGGATTTGGCCGCAGTGAAGCTCTCCGATCCGGACGAGTGGTTTGTCAAGATGCTCAGCGTTGAGCACCCCAACACCCCGGAGTTCTTGAAGGGGCTCTTTTGGATGGAGGACAACTATGCCCCCGAAGTGCTCTTGACATTTCAAGATATGGATTGGGTCTCGGGAAAGCAAGGATACTTCATGCCGAAGTATAGCTGGACGAATGATCCGTCTTGCATCGGAACAGCCTGCTTGTGCATCAATTTCAGCGGTTCTCCAGCTTCCGCATGGCCGTTTAATATCTCACCAAACGACAGGTGGATCAACATCGACCCGCAATGGATCTACAGGCCTACAGAGGGCGAGAAGATCACTCGACCAGATGGCTCTATTGTGGAGATGGCAAAAGAGGATATGATTCGAATAAGTTTTAACAATCCGAGTGATCCGAACTCAGGAGTGAACTATCAGTACCTCGTACGCCGCGTGGCCTATATGCAGAATGGGAGACTCATGAAGACGAAGGCCTATGATGAGCTCCGCCGGAGAGCAACAATGCCAGACACAATTGGGGGCTGCTGTGGCGGCTACTACAACTGTTCGCCTGTAGGAGAGAACTACATCTTCGACGCCTACGAACCATTGTCAGATGAGCAGGTACTCCTTTTCCCCCCGCCGCTGGAAGTCATGTGGCCCGACACTGTGATCCCGGATGCTGCACCTGCCAGACGCTGAGAGGGACGAGGGCGCTCTTGGACCTTGGAGTCCTTCCGTAACCTCGATCTGGGGGTTTCCGAAAATAGGGGACCTTAATATAGTACCCTAAATAGTAGGATCCTTATTATAAGGACCCCAAAATAAGGTACCCCTTGTTTTCGGAAACTCCCATCTGGGTTGGGTAATGAGGGGACAGCAGCTGGCGAGTACATGTCTCGTCGCTGCAACCCCCTCATCAAAATCTCCACGAGCGGACTCCCGTTGTTAAAAGAAGTGGTCCTTGGCAGCATTCATATGAGGCTAAGGGCCGGATATACTAGCTAAGGCCTTTATCGGAATTTCATATGTGGGTATTAGGGCTTCTCGGGTTTGCTTCTTCCGAATATCAGTCGTTCTGCAGGGACCTGAAGCAAGCAGACACATTTGCCTACCTGGGCCTACCTTCCAACGGGAATGGAGCCCAGCGGCGACCCTGCCTTTGGGAGCCTACTCACCTGCGTAGTGTGCTCACCTTTTGAGGGGAATGAGCCGGTTTTAGGGTTTAGGGTTGGGGGTTTCGCTTGGGAGCCCACTCACCTGCGTAGTGGGTTGCCGTTGCAAGAGAACCCTCCCACCCTCTTGCCTTCAGACTTGTTCAGGTTTGACGGACGCGTAACTGTACGGTTTCACGGAGCCCTCGAGTATGTTGAGGATAGTTTAGCTTGAGGGCTCAAATCCCAGAGACCAAAGCCATCCCAAGACCCAAACCACAAAACCTAAAGACAAGCCATCCTAAACCCTAAACCCCAAACCCTAGAGACATATTATATATATATATATATAATTATATATAATGAACCCTAAACCCTATAAATAACAATGCACCCTGAACCCTAAACCCTGATCCCAGAACACGAGACCCACCCAGGAGCATGGTGACATTCTTCGTGCCGGCCGATTGCGCGTGAATGGAGAGGTGCCTTTTGTTGGGGTTTTGGTGTTTGGGGTTTAGGGTTTGGGCTTTAGGGTTAGGATTCGGGGATTTGACCCTAAGCCCTCAGCCCTAAACGCGTTCGGCTCGTCTTGGGTGTAGGTCTTCAGAAATTGTTGTTTCTTAGAGTCCCTTTTTAGGGTTTAGGGTTCAGGGCTTAGGGCCTTTTGGGTTTGGGGTTCAGGGTTTAGTGGCTTTTAAGGTTCAGGGATTGTAAGGTCACCGACGTATCGGCGTCATGTCTTTTACAGGCAATAACGTCCCTGCTTGCAAACCCAATGGGTCCTAAGTACCTATACTACTCTGTTCTAGTTATCGAGGCCCCCCAAGAGACTTTCATGACATGAGCTTGGGTGAACTGTACAGTCACTTTATAGCTTTATCACTTTTAGGATTAGCCTTTTTTGATATTAGGGGTACTAAAAGTTAAAATTTTAGCAAGGTAATAAAGAGCAACCCAGTGAGGATTGCGATGCGCCAACTCCCTAGAAGCTGCCCCACGCAGATTGAATCCTATTCCCAATGTGTTCAATGCGTTTAGCGTTGAGGGTTGAGTTTTAGTTTGGGTAGCCTGAAACCCTAAACCCTAAACCCTAAACCCTAAACCCTAAACCCTAAAAGTCGCCTGACTTGCACGTCTACTTGTAGGGTTTAGGGTTTAGGGTTTAGGGTTTAGGGGGATACCCTACCGGAACCCTAGAAAAAACACACCCTTTTAACCTGTATTGTTCCTCATATAAGTCCTTACAGAGGTATGTTATTTGGGGTCAAGGTAAACTCTAAAATTCCTAAACCCCTATGGATCCCGTAGAGGAACCCGTACAGAAACCCTTAAAGTGTTCAGGGATTAAAACCCCTATGCCCCAAAAACCCTAAACCCCAAACCCTAAACCCTACGCCCTGAGCCCTACAAGCCCTGAACCCACCAAACCCTAAACCCTGAACGCACTAAACCCTAAACCCTAAACCCCTAAACCCTAAACCCTAAACCCTAAACCCTAAACCCTAAACCCCTAGTTCATTACAGAACCCCTGGAAAACTTCTATCCCCAAAGCCCCGGGCCCGGGCAGGGCTCAGCCCTAGGTCGGTAAACCCCTACAAACCCCTAAAGCAGGGGGTTTAGGGTTAAGGGTTTAGGGTTTAGGGGTTTAGGGGTTTAGGGGTTTAGGGGTTCAGGGTTTAGGGTTTAGGGTTTAGGGCTTAGATTTAGGGTTTGGGGTTCAGATTTAGGGTTTAAGACCAATTGCGATACTAATAGCAGTTACTTACAAGAACAATATTAACCGCAATAACGAATATGCTGGGTTTTGAGAGTTTTTGCGTTTCAAGGTGGGGGTTTTCTTTTTTTTAAGTTTAGGGTGTAGGAGCCTGCCACGTCAAAGAGGTACTCGAGTGGGCGCCCACCAGCCAGGCTTGTCTGTCCTGGACTGTAAGGGCCATAGGAGGGTTTGGGGTTTAGGGAGTTCTCTAATAAGGGTCTTTAGGGTTTAGGGTTTAGGGTTTAGGGTTTAGGGTTTAGGGGTCCGAAGGACCTAGTAGGTGGGTATTTGGGTTTAGGATGATTACGTCTTGGGGTTTCTTTTAACAGATGGTTAAGGTTTGCTTTTCAGGGAAATTTTCATTTATAGGAAGGTTGTGGGATTTGGGGGGCGCTGGGGGCACACCTGCCTCCGTGTGTTTCGATTAGGGATTCTGCACGTTCTATGGGGTTCTGCAAGGGGTGTTCTATAACAGGGCCCTAAACAAGTGGCGAGGTTTAAAGTTCGAAGAATCTCGGAGCCAGCCCAAATGAGTCGGTGTAAATAGATTCGGATCATGGCTGGTCTGCTCAACGACATTCGTGCCATCGTTCCCTCAGCGCCTTTGAGCGCGCCCTGGCGCAAGTGCGTCCGCCGCGTCAGAAAGGGAGCCCTGTGAAAGTACAACGATTCGTTGCGCTGGGCCCGCGAAGGTTTAGGGTTTAGAGTTTAGGGTTTAGGGTTTAGGGACATATGCAAAACGACAACCGTACGGACGCGTCTTCAAGGCTTAACAATGCTCTACGAGTCACGGAACCGCTACGCCCGAAATTTATCCTCAGACTGGACTTACAAGCCCGAAGGCCTAAAGTATTTCAGACCCTTGCAAAACGATCATGGGACGTGTTTGCAAGCTTCACAAGCCGCTCAACAATCCTCATGATATTCTCTATGGAAATGATATATAAACGTTATAGAAACCGCAATCCCGGCTATTCCCTGAGCGTAAGACCCCGCAACAACAAAGCTCTCGAGCCTCTTAAACTCTACAAAAGGACCTTAAAGGGGTCTAATAAACCCCTATAAACCCTAAATTCCAAATCCTAACCCCCCAAAATGCCTAAGCTGCAAAACCCCGAAATATCCATACAGACCCAGTATATAGATTCCGTAAGAGAACCAGAAAGGAAGGATACTCTCCTATGACAAATCTTTACGACCCTCATGCGACAAGGGTTTAGGGCTTAAAGGGCGTAAATCTCTAAAATACCGAATCTGTAGCTTCAAAACAGCTCGAATCTCGAAGCCTGACATTGCCTTAAAGGAGCCCTTGAAAGGCAACCCTAAACCTCAAGCCCTGAACCCTAAACCCCAAACCCAAAGCCCCTGAACCTCAAACTCATAAAACCCTGAACACTAAAACTCTTAAACCCTACACCTTAAACCCGTAAGCCCTAAACCACAAACCCCTAAAACCGGAAAGCCCAAGCCCTAAACAGGTCTCTCCGGAAGAATCGCTGCAGAGCCTTGTTGATGCCTTCGCACAGAGACTGGGCCAGAAGAAAGCCTGTCTTGAAGGGTTTTGGGTTTACTGGCCTAATATAGTAGAATGTAGGATTTCTATAGTAGGAATTACCATTGCGACGTCATTACCATGTGGGAAAGTATCCCCCATAACAGAATCTAGGACCCTTTGGGTTTGGGTGTCTTTGTAGTTCGAGCTTTGCTCGAAAGGGGTTTGGGGTTTAGGGTCTCGAGCTTGGGGTTTGGGGTTTCTCGTTTAGGTTTGAGTGTTTAGAGGTTTGGGGTTTGGGGGTTTAGGGTTTTGGGCTTTGGGTCTTGGTTTAGGGTTCATAGGGTCTCGGGCTTAGGGTTTAGGTGAGTAGGGCTTCGGTAGCCTCGGTTGCAGCAGTTCTTGAGGAGACCAGAGATTCCAAGCGGCTGGCACGGACAGCTAGACGAGCTGGTCTATTGCGACTTGCCTTCAATCTAAGGTTAGAAGTATGGGCCCCTAATACGGACCCTTAGGCCTTTCTAGGGACCCTTAAGGGTATATACACAGTATATAGTAGGTGTATGAGGATCCCAGGGTTAAGGGCCCATACTAGGGGCCCATGGTTTCAACCTTAGATTCAAGGCTTTGCCTATAGGGTCTGGGCTTCCTAAATCCTTTCCCGACCTAGCTCGCCCAACTACCCTGCATCGTAGGCTAGCTGCCAGCGTTTACTGGCCATGTGGCCTCTAAACCCTAAACCCTAAACCCTAAACCAGTTAAAGTATTTGCCGGCTTCGGGTGTCTCAGGGTATAGGGGTTTAGGGTTTAGGGTTTGATGACCTTCTTCTTACGCTTTCCTCCCGGGTTAAGGGGGTGCTAAAAACTGTGCCATCCGACGCTGTGCTCAGGCTCCACATTTTGGACAAGCAAACTGCAGTACGGAGGGCTTAATTACGACATTGGACTTAGAGTCTAAACCCTAAACCCTAAACCATAAACGCTAAAGCCTGAACTTTAGTGTTCAGAGCTTACGGTTCGGTGCTCCATGTCTTCAGAGTTAAGGAGTTCACGGCCCAGGGCTCCAGTACTCTACGAGTCTGTACGTGTTGTGTAAATGTGTATAGGGAGTCTACAGCACTTCAAGGCAGGCTCCATTCCAGCGAGTTTTTAGTTCCAGCAGTCTTTATCTAGCAAGAGGCTTTATAAGGTTTAGAAGGTTGTGTTGCTGTTTTAGGTGTAGGTAAGTCCCTAAACCCTAAACCTTAAGCCCTAAGCCCTAAGTGTCTATCAGGGTTGGCGCCTTGGGCTTCAGGTATTATTCGGGCCTAGGACTCTTCGCCTAGAGGTTTAGGGTTTAGGGTTTAGGGCGTGATGTCTGCAGACTGAGGTGTCATGAAGTCGCCGCTTGCTTGCTTCTATGGTTCAGGGCTTGACATAGAGGTTTGAATCAGAAAGAGTATCCGCGTACTGCCGCGACGTAAGTACACGATAATTCACGCCTGAGCTCCGGAAACGTACGCTACTTAGTGCTACTTATCGTGGCTCATGTACAGCCCCATACAGCCCTATCAAACACTTCATAGGAGCCTTACACAACCCTAAAGCCCTCAAACTCCAAATCCCAGTAAAGCCACTGCAGCGCCCAAACCCTATACTCTAAGCCTTTTCTTGAAGTGTTTAAACGATCACACTCTATATATGTTAACACTGGTATAACTTAACCAAAAAGTCCTTCATAAAAGCCCTAAACCCTAAACCCTACACCCCTACAAATCAAAGCACGCATACCATTGCAAAGCCTTCAACTTGAAATTGTAATCTTACTCCTTAGGTCCCAAATGTCCGAGAACGTCAAAGCTAAGCCCCTATAACTACACCGCCTAAACCCTAAACCCTAAACCTTAGAGGTTTAGGGTTTAGGGTTTAGGGTAGACCCTAAACTTTACACCCTAAGCGGAAGGCTGAGCTTCCAGTTCGCGCTGATGGATGTCCTGACGACTCTCGGTGCTCAAGATCGTTTTCGTTCAGGGACCTCGTCTGTTAGGGTTTAGGGTTTATAGGGTTTAGGGTTTAGGGCTATTGGGCTTGAGGGTTTAGGGCTTAGGGTTTATAGGGTTCGATGAGGTCTTCGAGGGTTTAAAATTTAGAGTTCGATGAGGTCTTAGATGGTTTAGGGCTAAGGGTGTTGATGACCCTAAACCCTAAACCCTAAACGCGCTTGAGGATGTAGTTGGGGCGAACCTTCTTTAGGGAACTTAAGGGGTCGGATTAACTGGAGTTTAGGTGGTTTGGGTTTAGGGTTTAGGGTGTAGGGTTCCGGTTGTAGTCCATGCATTTATGCAACAATGCAGCACACAATTCTGTTCTAATCATGAAGGCCCCTTCAAAAAGCCGTCTAGCAATCCGCTTAAGAATCTTTAAAGCCAATAATTACACCCGCATTTGATTCTTGCGGCCCCTATGTTTTTCCTACACCCCCAAGTTCAAGACCCAGGACGCTGCGCAGCCACTTTAAGCTGTCTGCGATGCCCAGCATCGCAAGCGACGGCACCTCGAAGCAATCGGTTCACTTAAGCTTTCTTTGCTGCATTTGAGGAGGGTGTTGAAGGTCTGGGATCTCGTCAAAGTTTTGGGCTTAGGGCTGCTAAGCGCTCCTTTATTGAGGGTTAAGGCTTTTAAGTTGGGATCAGGATTTATATAGGGCCTATAAAAGTCGGAAGATGTTGACAAACAAACAAACATAAGTTGAATAACAATTATATATATTTCCCCCTGTGTCCATATGCAATTCCATTTTCATGAACCCAAATTAACCCCAAACCTTCCCAAAATGGTTGAAGCTCCGACATTAGGCTCTCTTTAATGGCCTTAATACTTGGAGGGATCCTCGCTATAGTCCCTATTGAAGGATAGGTGGTTAGCCAATCCGGCGTTTAGGGTGAGCAAGCTCCTGAGGTATGCAGTACGCCATCAATGTCAGCTGCGCCGGATGCGACGCTTGCGTGTCGCTCCTGCTGCAGTTGGTGCTGTAAAGTGTAGGGCTTACAGAGGTTTACGGTTTTGGCTTGAGGATTTCGGAAGCAGCAGTTTCTAGCGTTCCGGTTAAGGGTTTCTCACGCAGTCCCTGCTCGCGGCCCTGCAGAGGTTGGTCAGGGTTTGCAAGCCTAGCATGCATTCGGAGTTCCTGTATGACTGTAAGGGTTCAAGGGATCTGTATGGGATCTATAGGGAATTGAGAAGGGTTTCGTTTAGAGTTTGTTAGGCTCCTTTCCGAACTTGAAAATTGCAGATACCGCTCAACCCTAAACCCTAAACCCTGGAAGCATGCCGAACAGCCTGCACCACGTTTACAAGTTTCTCGAGCCCAAAAGCCCGATGCAATCCTCTGACAATACACGAAACCCAGTGAGAACCATGATGCCGTGCCCAAACTCAAACCCGAAGACCTAAACCCTAAACTTCCTTCTCCCTATACACCCTAAACCCTACACCCTAAACCCTAAACCCTAAACCCTAAACCCGAAACCCGAAACCCCAAACCCTAAAGCCAAAACCGAGGCCCAAAAGTGCAAGTCCCTCCTCGCCATGCTCAGGCTCTGGCCAAAGAGAGCCAGCATTTTCACCGTGGACCCGGACTGCCAGGGTTTAGGGCTTTAGGTGTTTAGGGTTTAGGTCTTAGGGTTTTGGGGTTTCGTTTAGGACTTTAGTAAGTTGGGGTGATAGGGCTTAGGATTTAGATTTTCGGGCTTAGGGTCTTGGAACCCCTAAAGGTTAACACCCTGAACATAAGGCTGCCGTAGGAGAATAAACCCTAAACCCTAAACCCTAAACCCTAAACCCTAAACCCTAAACGATCGTGTACTTCAATTGCGTTCAGGTTTGGGGAGTAGGGTTCACGGTAGGGTCTACCTTTGGGGTTTAGGGTTTAGGGTTGATGCCGTACATGGACCCTAAACTTTCTAAACCCTAAGCCCTTAGGCCCGAAGTTCGGATGTCTGACACAGATTCCTTGCTAGGACTTCTCGTGCAGTGCTGTGTCCGTGCTGAAAGACAGCACTGCATCGTGGTCCAGTGGACTGGAGGTGACACACAACCATCTTCGCAGAAAGCCGGATGCATACATCCGAACACAGATCATCCAAGGGTAAAGCGTCCTTTTGGCATTTGGGGGCGGGGGGGGGGGGGGGGNNGGGGTTAGGAGGGTTTTTGGTTTAGAGTATCGTTTTGGGGGTTGAGGGTTAGTGGTCTAAGCTGTCTAAACCCTGAACCCGACGCCCCTAAGACGAGAACCCGAAGCCCTATTCAACCGTAAGCCCAGAGTCAAAGACCTGCCCCATGCCTTAGACCCAGGCCGTTAATCCATGAATCCCGAACCGGTTTAGAGTTTAGGGTTGGAGGTTCAAGGTACAGAACATGTATAAACCATGAACCACACTCTGCATGTACTGTCTGAAAACTGTAGACCCCCAACGTAGGTTTACGTTGTATACTTGGAGTCTCGAAGACCTGTTCTGAACCGCTTCCCAGGAGACGGGGAAGCAGCAACTATATGGAGCCATCGGCAACTTGCCTTTCAGTGGATCATCTGGGGTTTCTGTTCTTGTGTATTGAGGTGTTGAGAGTGTTACGGGCTTTATCCTTTAGGGATTCAGGGTTTAGAGCCCAGGGTGTGGAGTTTAGGGTTTTGCATACAAACTGAAGCCTTCACAAGGGTTCTACCGGAATTCCGTTACAAGTTTCCTTTTTAAGGATACTTGAAGCTCATGTTAGACCCTAAACCCTAAACC